ACTAAGTCCACAACACATGAAAAAAATACTAAGTCCACACAACAAAAAAATACTAAGTCCACACAACAAAAAAATACTAAGTCCACAACACATGAAAAAATACTAAGTCCACAAAAAAAAAAATACAAGTCCACACAACATGAAAAATTTCTAAGTCCACAAAGAACGAAAAATTTGTTAAGTCCACATGACATGAAAAAAACCCAAGTACACACATGAAAATATTCTAAGTCCACAACACAGCAAAAACAACTAAGTCCACACACCATGAAATTTTTCTAAGTCCACAACATGAAAATTTTTCTATGTCCACAAAGAACGAAAAATTTACTAAGTCCACACAACCAAAAACATACTTAGTCAACACCACAAAAAATACTAAGTCCACACACCATGAAAAATTTTCTAAGTCCACAAAGGATGAAAAATTTTCTAAGTCCACATGACATGAAAAAAAAACTAAGTCCACAACATGAAAATTATTCTATGTCCACAAACAACGAAAAATTTTCTAAGTCCACAACACAGGAAAAAAAACTAAGTCCACACAACAACAAAAAAATACTAAGTCCACACACCATGAAAATTTTCTAAGTCCACACAACATGAAAATTTTCTAAGTCCATAAAGGATAAAAAAATTTTCCAAGTCCACAAACATAAATTAGTCCAATTCCACAAGAGGAAAAAAAACTAAGTCCACAAACAAAGACAATATTTCAAAGCACAAAATATGAAAAATATACCAAGTCCACACACATTGAAAATTATTACAAGTCCACAGGATAAAATAATACTAACTCCACAACATATGACAATTTTTCTAAATCCACAAACAATGACAATATTTCCAAATACAAAATTTCTAAAGTCAACAAACAATAAAATAATACAAAGTCCACAAACATCAAAAATATAATAAGTCCACAATCGATGACAATTATTCAAAGTCCACATACATTAAAAGTTATTCTAAGTCCACAAACATTGAAAATTATTACAAGTCCACACAAGTTAAAATAATACTAACTCCACAACATATGAACATTTATCTAAGTCCACAAACAATGAAAATTTTTACAAGTCCACACACGATACAAAATTATTCCCGGTCCACGGACGTAATACATTAATACGGAGCCACAGACGATAAAACATTTTCTATATCCACAAAATATTCAAAGTCCACAAACGATAAAATAATAACAAGTCCACAAACATACCAACTACACATACACAAAGGCTAAAATAATACTAACTCCACAAACATCATAAATTATTCCAAGTCCACATACATTAAAATTATTACAAGTCCACAGAGGATACAAATTATTCTAAGTCCACACAACATGACAAAAATACTCAGTCTACATTGACAATTATTCAAAGTCCACAAACGATAAAATAATAACAAGTCCAAATACATATTAATTATTCAAAGTCCACACAGGATCAATTAATACTAAGTCCACAAAGGATATTCAAAGTCCACAATCATTATACATTATTCAAAGTCCACATAAATTGAACATTATTCCAAGTACACAAACAATAAATTATTCAAACTCCACAAAATATTCAAAGTCCACACAACATAACAAAATATTCAAATATCCACAAACATCATTAATTATTCAGTCCACATAAATTGAACATTATTCCAAGTACACAAACAATAAATTATTCAAACTCCACAAAATATTCAAAGTCCACAGAAATTGATCATTATTCCAAGTACACAAACAATAAATTATTCAAAGTCCACAAAATATTCAAAGTCCACACAAATTGACAATTATTCAAAATACACAAACAATGAGACATTTTCAAAGGATAACAATTATTCCAATTCCACACAAAATACACAATTATTCAAAGACCACAAACATCATCAATTATTCAAAGTCCACACGGGATAAAAAATTAGTCCGATTCCACCGGCGTAATACGTTATTCCGAGTTCGCGTGCGTCGATAATTATTGCCGGTCCTCGGACCCGACGCGTAAATTTCCCGGTCCACAAAAGGCAAAACAAATTCAAAGTCGACAAACATTATCAATTATTCAAAGTCCACAAAGGTTAACAATTTCAAGTCCACAAACAACTACAGGTTGTAACTCTCTAGTCCGGCATTCTGTGCTCCGCAAACTCCCGTGGTCCAAAACAATTTTAGTTTCTCCAACAGGTACATAGGCAGTTTTTTTTTTTTCTTGGAAATTATCATTATTATAGCAGGAGTATTAAATTGTGGGTCAGTGACTTATGCCCAGGTGGGCTAATCCCCTAAAAAAAAAAAAAACCCAGGAAATTAAGGTTTGTTTACATCCAGCACTTCAGCTGCTCTCTCTCTCTCTTTGTCTATAGAGTACAACATTTAACCCTTCAGCAATAAATAAGTGTTGCTTTCATATTCTTATGTACAGTAATGACGATATCTTTTCACATGTGCGCACTCACTTTTTTTATGGTTAACTACTTATATTGTTCCATTTTTTAACATTAAATAACATTACACGTACTTCAAACGAGCATATTAATTTTTTTACATTAATTTTACTGCAGCTAAAATCAGGGTCTTATTTTCTTCAGTTTTATATGTACAACCAATCGGTCACTGGTTTTGTGAGCTTTAACGTAAACGATGCCGGCAGCCGTCTCGTCTCGTCTCCTCTGATATTCCACGTATTAATAATAAATTCTAGTGTTAATTTTGCACACACAAACATTAATTCAATAAAAACAAATTCACAAACATCAATTAAAATATATATGAACAGTAAATAAGTGTTGCTTTCGTATTCTTACGTAAAGTAATGACGATATCTTTTCGCATGCCCACTTACGCGCGCGATCTCTTTTTTTTCTTTACCGTTATCGTTAGCTACTTCTATTGTTCCATTTATTAACATTACTTAAAACAACCATAGTCATTTTACTACAGCTACAGCCAAGGTCTTATTTTCTTCTCTTTTATATGTAGAACCAGTCAGTCACCGATTTTGTAATCGACGAAAACAATGCCGTGTGTTTTAATATTCTACGTATTATTAATGAATTGTATTGCTCATTTTGCACACAAACAGTAATTCAATAAAAAAGACATTCACTAATAAACAATAATGAATCTTTTCTACACGAGAGAAATCACGCTCTTTACGCGATTGTGCCAGTCGTCTGCACGTTGGCGGGCCGTTCAAACCCGTCGAAATTCCACTTTCCGCCGTCAAAATTTCTATTTATTTATTTTTGGCTCTGTTCCAATAAAATACGTTAAGAATTAAAAACTCTCCAAATTTCACGAGCTACTATACGACATTTAACCCTTCAATATGTCTTCAAAGAGGCCGTGATGCAGAGAAAGTGGTGCTAGTGCTTCCAAGCATAAGCACAAGTCACTATCTATCCAGGAAAAGGGTCAATTTCCATGGTCCGGCACCGGTCCGGTCCCGAGGTTGCCCGACTAGAGGTACGACATTTCGGTCCACAAACATGAAAAATATACAAAATCCACAAAATATCTCACTTATTCAAAGTCCACATACATGCAACACATTTTCCAAATCCACAAACCAAAATAATTTCAAACTGCACAAATGACTATACTATAATCAAACAACAACAACAAGTCAAAACATTTTTCAAACTACAAATAACTTCAATCAATTACAAACAAACATATACAAGTCTACAAATATTCGAAGACGACCGATCCGCGGACGATTGACTTTCGTCGACGACGCCACATTTTTTACGACTCCGCGAACGAATCTACGACGACAAAAAATAACTCCGCGACTCCGGCCGTTCCGGTCGATTCCGACGACGCCAAACTCCCGACAAAATATTCCCGGTGCGCAATTGACACCCTTCAAATTAAAACCAATAACTATTCCACAATCAACAATTTCACAAGTCCACAACATTAACTTACACTCTTCCACTATTTCCCGATATATAACTGCCCAAACCCGACGCGACCGCGTATTCAAACTACAGACGGTACGTGCATTCTCGTCCTCGATGACAGTTACTTTCCAAATCTAAATAGAACTCCTCCTCTTCTTAACAACAAAATTTAGTCAAATATCAACACAATATATCTAATTCACACTCACAACATATATATAACAACAAATAAATACAATCCAACATACACACAGCAGCAGTAATACAACCACAAATTCAATTGGTAACAACAAACATATACAGGAACACAAAAACAACCAACAAATGGGAGTAACAACAGGATCAAGAGCAATGGGAGGGTGAGAAACAACAAGGGAATCACAATCAAACAGAGGAGGAGAAGGAACAGACGCAGAACAAGCCAAAGAATAAACGAGGAAGACATATGGCGAAGAGGAGGAGTAAAAGAAGGAAACAGGAAGAAGAAGAGGACGGACAGAAGCAGGTAGGGGGGAGAAAAACGAAGGGAGTTGCAATGAAACGGAGGGAAAAGAAGCCGCACGACAAACACGTCAAAAAAGGAGGAGGAGGACGGGGAGGCAGAGGGAAAAGACAAAAAAGGGAGGGCTTACAAATTAAACATTGTGCTCGTATTCCTTCCCCTACTCGTCCAACAAATTTTATTATTATACAAACGCCTTCACAATAAACACCTTAACACGAGTGGAGCAACACGGAGTACGGGTGAACGAGTATAAATTCAGGCCAAAAATATATTACTGCTGCATTACGTATTTCCTTACCGGTAGATGTCGCGGTCTCAAAATAGGTACCCACGCGCACTCCACGACTGCCCGCTCTCAAACGCACTGCCACAATTACGTAAAACTAATACACCTGTCGAACCTTCCCGCCATTTCAAACACGCGACTCTTAGTTAAATCTACTTCCAAATCATTCTTTACGCATCTCGCGGGTATACTTTCGTTTGTGCGCCGCCTCGTCTCCGTCCGAATTCCCGTCCGTTCTCCGTCGGTCCTCTTTCCCGTCCCGTAAACGGACCCCGATCGACCGTCGTCCGTATCCGCACGCGCCCGCACCCGCCGCTTTACGTACGACCCTTTCCTAAACCGCCATTTACTAAATTCGTCGTCGTCCGTCCCACGTCGAAAGGTTATTGCGATCGTCGCTTCCGCCAATTCCTCTACCGCGCGACTTCTTTACAATCCCCGTCGCATCCGTTTCTCACAATTACGCCGACTCGGCACTGACGAGTCAATTCCTTTAATACCCTACAAAATATATCATTCGTTGTCCCCCCCCCACCACCATCCTTATCACCTTTTACTTTATATCTTCACTAATATATAACTACTCTCTCTGTCCTAAAAAACCCACCAAATAGTCATCATTTCTCCATTCTTATCGGTTACCACAACAACACCATCTATGTCGGTCCGATCTCCCCCGTTCTTTTACTTTCAAAAGGCGCACTTCCCCGCCGCCGCCACCGCGTTCTCTCGTATTTATGCTGCCGTTATTTACGGATGCGTCCCGCCACAAATGACGTGCGCGCCGCATTCCGTGACGTTCTACGATCGTAATCATCTCCCCAAATTAGTGCAAACACCTAGTGATCACAGGCAACATCTTCAATAAATTCATTCTCGACATGTATCGACTTCCTCCGTCTTCGCAGAGTCGGTCTCTAAAAACAATACTACAAACATTATAACAATCGTTACAAACAACACGTACATTCATTTTACACGTTAAATCGTCTTTAAAACAATCACGCCGGCCCGACATTGATGCGTGTCTCCTTCTGCGTTGACGAGTGTCTTCCCGCACTCGGGAGTGTGGCGTTCTTCCCGTGTTCCGGAGCATCTTCCTCGCGCGTCGACCGGTGTCTTCGTCCGCAGTCGACGAGCGTCTTCGTCCTCGGTTCCCGAATGTCTTCGTCCGGACCGCTCTCGTGCGCCGACTGTACGAGCCGTCTCCGACTCGTATCGGCGCGCTCCTCCGCAACTGAAACGGACAAATTACTGTCAAAATATCTCGACAATTATCTACTATTACAAATTCTACTAATTCCCAAACAAACTTCATCTAACTTCATTCTTTCTACAGTATACCTATACACAAACATATCTACACACTATTGCCAACTAAAACACACAGGCATACTCGACTACCCCACAATTACGTCCCGCACAAATTACTCCTCCCGCTCGTGCCGTACGCGGGCGCCGACGTCGCGCTCTGCCGTATCTCCGTAAATACCCGCGACCCCGTCGCCTAATACAAAATCAAACTCGACGCTCCTCCACCCGTCGGTACGGTGTGCACGTCGCCACCTCCCATACTTAACGATTATCAAAAAACATACAATATACCTATACATAACATAATATTAATTGTACATATTCGTACCATTCCCAAGAACTCGAGAAATCTATAAGACGATTGGGAAAGTCCACTCGATCCGGACCGGTGTACTTTACGACCGAATGTACGTCGTGCTCTCGAGGTCGTACCATTTACGTCTGTGAACGTAAACGTAACTTCCGCAGATGTCGCGTAAAAATACGCGACGACGGAGATCCGGTACGAGGATAAACGTGTTGGCGGTGAACCAAAAACTATACGGCGAGTTCTGCTATAACGCGTGTTTTGACGACGCGATTTATGAATTGAGGAACGATATTTGTAAAACGCGAACTCGTTTCCTCCGACGCGATTCCACTCGAACGATTGTTATGGCTTCGGTTCACGTTCGACATCGCGTGTTCAATTGAGTTGTGTGTTTTGTTTGTGAACAATTGCAGAAATAATGTATGTAATATTTATGTATACAGTATACCTATATATTATAAGTCAATTGTAAAATTTTAAATAAAAGAGACAATCAAATTACATAGCGTTTCACACCGGCGCTCTCTTTACATCACACAGTGTTTACGGTTCACGTTCGACTTCGCATATTCAATTGATTTATGTGTTTTGTTTGTGAAGAATTGCAGAAATAATTTATGTAATATTTATGTATACAGTAAACCACTCACAAGGTCCTACAGTGACAACAAAGGGAAAGTGACCTCGACTGTGACCGTCTGTGCCTATTTTTAGCCGTCCTTGTGGTCGGTAATGCATATCGGTATATTTACTGATCATAATACTTATCTCCTATAAATAATTCATTTGAAATTTATTTTTGGGCAAAGAATATTCGGTAAATGACTGCGTTAATTCTTGAAACTACCCACATTGGTAAATTTAGGACATAAATGATGAACGGAAGTCACGTCACGGATTCGGAGTTTGGTCCTTAACGATCGCCATAAATGTACATTACCGGGTATAATGGTAGCCTCCCTTTTTCCAGAAAAAAGTATATAAATTAAAGAAAATACTTGCAGCATATTTAATATATTACAGTATATTATAAATAAATAAATCAACAAATAAATTCAAATTCCCTTATCATCCTGTGTTATAAACTCGAGTCCCCGAGCGAGTACACAAAAAGAAAACGCACGACCGACACATCCTCGAGTGGATAGAGAACGGACATCTCTACTGGGGGACTCGAACGTTTCTCGTGTTTTGTGGGCGCTGTAGCATAATATGAATATGTAAATTGTAAAAATTTAAATAAAAGAGAAAAACAAAATAAGTAGCGTTTAAAGTGTACTTTACATTGTGGCTTGGCGCAGGGTTATGCAGTGTTTACAGTTCACGTTCGACATCGCAAGTTCAATTGATTTATGTGTTTTGTTTGTGAAGAATTGCACAAATAATTTATGTAATATTTATGTATACAGTATACCTCTACAGTATATGTAAAATTTTAAATAAGAGAAAAACAAAATACATAGCGTTTTAGACCCGCGCGCTCTGTTTACTCCACACTTTGTTTGAAACACGTGTGAAATTTTTAAGTGTCCTCGGTGATTACTGTTTCTCCAATTTTGTGACTATGGAAAAGAAGAATATCTCTGGGAAGCACTCTGGTGATCATAAAAGAAAGGCTATAACACTCGAAGAAAAGCTTGATGTTTCATGACTCCTCAACATCAATCTTCTCCCCCATCAAGTTATATTCAGATTTTTTCAAGGTCAAGTGTAACATTTACTGTATGATTTCAATATTAGATATCAATGTAACATTTATTTAGACTGTACTACGAAATTTTTGTCGATTTGGAGTAATCTGCACCTAACCCTATTTTCTCCATAAGCCCTGTCATTTCTATTACACGAATTTCTATAACACGATGTTTTACAAGAACACAACTATCGCATTATAGCAGAACTACCCGTACTCGAAAGGAAACGTCTCGTATGCATCCGCGTAAACTCGATACGCCTCGTCTCCTCGGGACGTGTACGGCGATGAGGATAATCTTACGTCTGCGTTCAAATGGTGCAATGTGTCTGAGGAGGATCCCTAATTACACTTTTAAGGGAAGTGGATATACCCACGCCACGAACTTTCGGCTTCTGTTCCGAGGGATCGTCCCGTGTACCCGCCTCCGGCGTGCCGCGTTCCTATTATGACCCGCAATGTGCATACAATAACGCCTACTTGCAATACAGTATAAAACATAGGACATAAATACATATACCTCATCCTCCATTACAAGCTACTACATTCTTAACCCTTACACCCAGGTGACGTCCATCTGGTCTCCCCTTTGTGGAGGAGGGGGTGGGGAGAATTCATCTTGTTTCTCGATTTATCCCAATAGGAAGGGAGGGGGAAGTGCCAGCAGCACCCTAACCCTTGGCTTATGGGTTAAACTCCCATTTTTTAATAATACTTTTCATATTGTATCCAACACTTTTAGACCAGATATGACACCTTCAATTCTATATCTCTATGCTAAATTAAGTACTCTCATTATAACACTTGTAATGTCCGTCCCTCTACGCATTTTCGATGGCACCCGAGTCTCGTCGTCGGTCGCATTTTCATTTCTCCCTCGTTATCTTTACGTTCTACTACTCTTTTACTCGTAAATTCCCGTCTTATTTCCTCTCGGTAACCGGTCAAAACTTCCTTCGATATTTCGTCGACGACGCGCCGCTTAATAAATTCTCGTCTCCCTTAAAAACCTTCCACTTACTCTACGCAATTCCTACGGAGACGCCGAGGCACGCCACATACGCATTCCTATTCTTCAGAGAACCATTAAGTAAATACCGTACACTGCGATATAAACATTACAATACGGCGTCGTCCGACATTCTCACCCGCGGTTCGAGCGGCGTCCTCGGCCGGGGTCCGTCGAGTCGCCGGTCCGCACAAAAATGACGTTTCTGACTCCCGTCGGGTGACTGCAAATGAAAAATTAAGGTTAAAAAATATACATAGTCAATTAGGCATGCAAATTATACATGAACCCTTGACACCTAACCCAAATATCTGAGTACATTCTCTAAAGACCTGGATACATTTGCCAAACATACACTTTCCATTGGAAAATCTTACATACTTAGGCAGCCACCAAACGGGGAGATACCACCTCCGCAGACAATATTGGAAGCGTAATGTGTCGTCCGTGGTAGATCTTCCTGCTACGTGGCATCCCTAAAATTGTGACCGAGTCCCGGGTCGCTCGTCTGACTCTCTGTCTCGATTGTTTCTCTTACTATTGACAACACAACATAAATCTATTGTTCCTCACTTTTGATTTTTTTTTCCATTTTGTATTTCTTTAAGGTTCTTCAGTATTATTGTTACATATAAACTAGGTTACCCCATATTTATGGCAATATGTTTTATTTTACTTGTGCAATAATGCGCCACTTTGAATGCGCACGCGTGTTTTGGTTTCGTTTTTACGGACGGTCCCGAAAATATACCGGAGAGAGCGTCGTCGTTTGTGTCGTCGTCTGAGCCTCTCGCATCATATTTCGTTGATATCCACCAAAAATGAACACTGTAACTTCAACAATTATTATTATTATTACATTTTCGCCCCGATGTGGGTCGGTGACCCGTGCCCGGGTGGGCTAATTCCCATAAAAAAAATACGTATTATTTATTTACTTTGCACTTTTATACGTACGAGTGTCGACGAAATTAATCTGCCGTTATTTACGCGATCTCATTTCTTGCGCACTTTCGACGGTTCGATTCGCGTGCCCTCGTTCTACTCCGGATGCACGTCAAATACCCGACGACGACGACGACCCCCTCCGGGAACGTCGTAGCGTCGACCTCCGGCGCGCCCCGCGACGAGAAGACCGCTCCGGAATTTCGACGAGACGTCACGTCGAACGGCGTTCCGGACTATACCCTCGACGATGACTGCGAGTGGCCTCGGACCAAACCCCACGCCTCCCGAGACACGGTCGAGTGAGGCTTCGGTCTCCGTGCTCGCCGATCGCCGCAATATAATACCAATTAAAACACTGCACTGTATGGCAAGTCTACCCTACAATGAATCCCCAAATCTGCTGTACCAAACATTCACTTGCCTAAAACGGTTAGCACAGACACATCCACCCAGGCAAAAGAGGGGACTTCAATCGACTACTCTTGTTACGGCGGAGGAGCCGCGCGCTCGGTCCGTGGGCGTCAAACCCGAGCGTTCCTTTAATCGCGGGCTGTGGTTCCGCCGGAAGATGCCGTTCCTTAGTTTCTGCAACGTGAAAGCCCGTCCTCCCAATTTCTCGCACGGCAACCGCCGGACGCGACCGCCTGCCGATGCCCTCTGGGTCCCACGCCACCCAAACAAACCCACCTAACTTTAGTAAATGGAAACGTACGTGCCCGAGAGTGGCGTACGAGTATTCTACGCGTGTCGCCGCATTATTCTCCCGCCGAATGCATTCGCCGCTGCGCATTTCGATGCGTTTTCCATTGAAGGACTAGGGTGTGGTTAGCAAATTATTTGTTCCTCTAATTGACATATATACAACTTATAAACCCTTCTTCACACTCACAATTTATAATTATAGTCACATATTTTATAGCAAACTCCAATAAACTTATCTAATATTTATCCCATTAATATCAACACTAATAACTGGTCACTTCGACTAAGTGTGTGTAGTGTAATTGTAATCACACAAAATGGTACATTATTAATAAGGTGACCATCATATACTATAAAACTTATTAAATAAAACACAAAAAAGGAACGACAGGTGCTAGGAGAGAAAGGTGGTATGTGGAGGGAAGGGATAGAGGGGTGGAAGGGAAGGATAATAGATAAGGAAAGGAAGAATGGTACGTGAAGAAAGGGAGGGGGGACAGATGGTGGGATAGAGGGGTGGAAGGGAAAGATAATAGATGAGGAAAGGAAGAGTGGTAAGTGGAGGGAGGGATACATTTAGCTGGAGGTAGAGGGAACAAGGGGTGGTATAGTCGTCAAACTATCCGTTAATCTTTAACGTCGTGTACTCGGAGCTTCCGTCTTCTCGAGTGCCGGAGCGGGTCGCCGCAGTTGTTTTGGGGGTCGACCGCCGGGCAAGTTTTAGCATTCTTACTCAATGAAATACTGTACATTACAAATACACGTATAATATGACCTTAAGCTAAAATAACCGTTGACTGAGCTTTAGTTATCCTTAAAATAGCATCCATAAAAATAGAAAAACACGTAGGTTATTCTCGACGATCGTCTCGCGTCGGAGAGCGGCACTCGCCGACCCGTCTCCGGAGCGACGATCTACGGTCGTTCTTCGTGTCCTTCTCCCGGATCGCGCTTCCGCTGCCCGAGGCGACTTCTTCTGTGGGTTAAGTTTGTGATGTGAATGCTGCCTGCATTTAATAATTATACTGCACTACATCTATACAACCATTGCATAGGGTATTATAAATCAATCATAATGCCCTCGTAAAATATCGTGTTGATCATTTTTAATTTGTGTCGTGTACCGGTAAGCAGAGTGTCGAGTGGCCGGAGGTGTGTCCCGGGCCGACGGCGAGACGATACCCTACGTGATGGAACTAATCTACGATCGTAACTAGTCTATTGCTAGAAAATGCAATATACTGCACGCGAGACTACGTAAACGAGTACTTCTCGCAAACGACGACGGACCGTACGACTGCGCAATACGGGCCGAATCTCGAGCGGGCCCGCATCCGCGGACGGACCGCCCTCGGCGTGCCCGTCGACGGACACGCGCGCGACAAAAATCGCCACGACTATTTACTAAACGAAGAAACGGCACGTCGACGACCCGACGGCATTGTCGAATATTACGTCGTCGACGCGTTTACGTAAAATTGTTACCGGTCCCGCGTACGCGTCGGTGACGCGAGGCGCATTCCTAGAGAGCTAATAGCTTTAAACCAAATTTTGACTCAATTAAAGTGGTTTCAATGGAACAATTTACTTTGGTACTCGAGACTAACACAAAATACTAAAAAGACCCAATATACCCAAATGCACCTCGGCCCATCTCCTACAAAACATCGTTTTTGTAGTATCGCGTTAAAACGGACGCTCGTAAATCGACGCGGCTAAAATTACGAGACGCGAAATGGCCCGTTTACTCGTGATCGGATTCGCGGCAAGATGGGGAGGAGGGTTATCGGTTTGACAGTTGATGCCAAGGTCTAGAGCTTATTTATTTATCTGTCCTTAACAGTGACTTTCAGGTTTTCTCTTATGAAATATCACTAAACTGACTTGGAAGAATATAATTAACATTGCTGGAATTCTTATAAAATTGTGATTACTTTGAATATAAACATGCTATAGTTCACATACAAATTTTAGTTGTAACTAATTTTATTACAAAGGGCTACAAATTTTTATCTCTTGTGCAAAATATACAACGTTTATGTTAAAATTATTAGCCGTCTTGTAACGATTTTAGCAATGCAAATTAAATTCTAACTTTTGTCTGTGATATTACTTAAGATAAAGCCCGGCGACACCGACGGTTGGCGCCCGGGTCTGTGGCGCATTTTTTCCCGGCCGGGAAATGACCCGGGTGAATATAATTAACATTCTTGGGATTCTTGTAACATACTGATTAATTTGTATATAAACATGCTATAATTTCCACTAGACATAACAATTTTAGTACCCAAATCAAATTAGTACAACAAAACTCCAGCTTTGCACTAAGGTCAATTATTTCTTTTAGTATGCTGTGTGCATGAAAATAAATGAAGAAATTGATGTAAATCTACCCAAAAATACAGTTCAAAAACTTTATATTATAAAATGTACTACAGTACTGTACACTAACGTACAACAATTTTTATCTCTCGAGCAAAATATATGACGTTAACATTCAAATTATTGGCTGTCTTGCAAGGATTCCAGCAATGCAAATTATAATCTCCTAACTTTAGTCTGAAATATTATGTAAGATAAAAACTGTAAGCCTAAAACCCTGGCTCAACAGATGGGGGAGAGAGTTAAGAGGAGATGTTTGACAGTTTGAGCCGAAGGTCTCTGTGAGTTTATTTAACAGTCCTACTAAGCTTCTCTCATTTTAAAATGCCAGTGAAATGACCTGGTACAATATAATTAACATTGCTGGGATTCTTGTAACATACTGATTAATTTGAATATAAACATGCTGTAATTTGCACCGGACATAACAATTTTTGTACCGTAATCAAATTAGTACAACAATGCTCCGGCTTTGCACCGAGGTCGTTTATTTCTTTTACGTTTCTTTTATTGTGGTGTCTGCATGTAAATGGATGAAAATAAATGAAGAAATTGATATAAATCTACCCAAAAATACAGTTGAAAAACTTTATATTATAAAATGTACTACAATTTTTATATCTTCAACAAAATACAGTATATATAATGTTTATATTCAAATTATTGGCTGTCTTGCAAGGATTCCAGCTATGCAAATTGTAATCCCCTAACTTTAGTCCGAGATATTATATAAAATAAACACCTTAAAGCATAAAGTTATCACCAATGTTTTGTCTGGGAACACAAGGAGGGAGGTAGCCAGCGAGCAGGGGGGGGAAGTGAGGTGACAATGTCTTTATTTATTTGAGATAAGATTTGACAGTTGGCGCTGAAGGCCCGAGTGTTTATTTATCATTACTTAAGAGTGACTAAGCTCTTCTCATAATTTGCCACCCAAACGACCTGGGTGAATATAACTTGTAAGATAGTATTTGAATATCTGTGTAAACAATCTATATTTGCCATAGACATAACAATTTAAGTACCGTAATCGTTTAGTACACGTACAGTAAGGGTTTGCACTCGGGTCCATTGTTAACCGAGGGACCGCTGTAATTGCAGTATACTTATACTGTACAATATTGACTAAATTCACTAGATAACGTACATCACTAATGGTCGGTAAAACTTGTCAAGTCTCTCGGTATGAGTGGCACGTGTTAGTGCTCGAGTCTCCCGTCGTGGAAGTCCGTTTTCTCTCCCTTCGGGATGCCCGAGTCCATTTTCTCTTAATCTTAGAGTGCAGTGCACCAGAGACTTCGTTATTCCTCAGTAATGACACAGAATTTCAAATTGCAACTAGGGTTGCAATTGTTGAGGCAACTAGATATGTCCGATTACAGCAAATGTGTTATTGTCAATTTGTAGGTGAAAGATTTTATCCTCAATAGATGTAGGTTAACATTACACCTGGAGGAAAATGCTTACTAAAGCCTAAGGAATGATATTCCTTTAACACATAACATCTAGCCAGTACGGGAAGGATCGTCGTGTCTCCATCAGGGGGGTCTTGGAGTGGTGGTCCAGCAGGCATCACGGAAGTGTTTTTTCGAGGGGGGGGGGGGCACGGACGTACGGTCGGCCTTTCACATACGCGGGTTTAGCATTCACGGATTTCAAGAAATACGCCGGATAGTTCCCGCCAGAGAAATATTCTGTACACTGAAGCATGTTCACTTGACGATAAATTGTATCGCTAATGGTTTTTGTTAAAAACTGCTAGCATCAGCTGCGAATTAGATAGAATATTATTGTAATACAACAGTTTTTAACTGAAAACCATTCGAAAGGCGATTACGGTAAAATATTTTGAACAACGAAAGAAAGCGAAAGTCTTTCGTCATGATTTTATCCCACTTCCCACTATAAAATGTACGTCATTCCAGCAAAAATATTACATTTCCATATTTATTTCCGAGAATATATTCATTCAGTCACAGTTAAGGTAAAATATACTTGTGATGTAATATTTTAATGAAAATCCAGTATCGTAGTTTTCTCTTGTTTCAAATTTAATTAACAAAGATTGATGTTTCAAATGTAATGAACAAACATTTATGTCCAGTATCTATAAATTAACTTTAATAAATGAATACTTTGTTTTACATCGTCCTGTGCTACCATACCATGGATTTGGCTACTTTGGGCTCGCAACAGATCTGCCCTGGCAACTGTACCAACACTCACAGCGGGTGGTGTGTTGGTGCATCGTTTCCATTGTTTACTGGTAAATATTTTTCAACCTAACGAAACTATTACCCGTTTAGAGGTCGACCCCCAATTTTTGCCAAATAATTTGGTCTTAAAAACTCAAACTACACACAGGTATATACGGTAAATAAGGACATGGGGGGCCAGGGATTTTTTAGGGGGGGGGGGTAGCAATAGTACACGGATTTTTAACATTCACGGGTATCTCTGTTACCTAACCCCCGCGAATGTTAAGGGCCGACTGTATATGCTATCGGATGTTAACCGGCGCACGACTGTATGTGTTTTTGAAAGATGCAAATCCTCCGAGGATTCGCATCGCACGTAGCGCGAATTTGGATTGCGTGTCGTAAACGGACGCCGAGCCGGTCATTACCGGGATCGTACGTCAAATGAACCGAGGAATTATCGGAAAGACACAACGGGGAGAGAGGCGCTATTATTAGCCTTCGCGACGAGGGTACGCGCAACGCTCGAATAACTCGGCACAATGGGGCGAGCGAACCCTCGGGCATCGCGATGGGTTACCCGCCGCTAAACGACGGGCGACGCGCCGATTAAAATCTTATTTTGACGTTAAACCGACGCCATTTACGTATCGATAATATTTGGCAGATCCCATTTAGACCAATATATTGTATATTGCTGTACCTGTTCACTCTAATATCAACTACTATTTGCTCCGTCACTCCTCAAAAATCAGACGTGTCGTCGACGACTACATTGTGCATCTCGGTACGAATAAAACCGTCACTACGACGCGGTGGCGAAACGTATGCCCCGAGGTCCGTCTCGGTCTAGCTCGTGACGTTCCAAAACTCTTCCGTTTAATGTATATTCCGATATTTTTGTAATCCTCGGTTGGGGCCTCGCTTCTAACCGGCACGATACATACATTAATATAGCTCAATGAATTTCTTGTTATAGTAAAGCATATACCGTACGGTCGTATGTCACACGAGGACGACTCCCTCGCTACCCGCCGTCTACGGCTATTGCTCATATAGTGACCGGATGTACCTGTACCAACTTATGCTGATGCACTGGGGATCACAGCAAAGTATTTCATCTAGAGTTTCAAATTTTACCGCTAGAAAATTCAATCGATACTTTTTGGGGGACCGTACATAATTTGGGGGGAACTGTTTTCGTTGTAGAAAAGTATCTTGGCTTTTATAATGTGAGTCTATAGGAATAGTGATTCGATTTACCATAGGTTTTTATAAGACACAGTACTCTTTCAAACTGGGGAATGCCTGTAGAACTTTCCTAACATTCAAAGTACCACAACAATATTAAATACAATACCACAGACTACTTGAGGTCCAGTAAACTTTATGTCCAGCCAACTTCATTCTAGTTCACATCAGGTCCACTGTAGGCAGTGTTGGAGAAAGTGCCTGAAAATATTACTTAAGATAAAGTACTGCACTGTTGATATGTAAAAATTTAAACTATGTCCTGTAGTCTTCTTCAAAACAATGCAAATAAAAGTTTACTCAACTCAACTGATTCATATAAGTAGAAAAAAGTATTTAGAGTACCACAGCATTTATAGAGTATCATAATTAATAAACAATGACATTATGTTTTGAAAACGAAACTTAAAGTTATTAATATACTGTACTGTACTTTAAAGAACCACGAAATAAACACACATTCAAAATTGGGTATGGGATGGAAAACGTGAATCTGGGCCATATTTTGGAAGTGTCGCGTACCGCCGACGCCAATGGGACGCGACTTTACGCACAAACATTTACATAAATGCCCACTTTTATAGGATTACTGTACAAGTGTACTGAAATACAAGTACAGGTTGTACCTCTCCGGTCCGGCAACCACGGGACCCGACCGGTGTCGGACGCCGGAAATTTCCCGACCGTGGAAATTCGCCCTCTTCCTGGACAGATAGTGACTTCTGTTTACACTTGGAAGCACTAGCACCACTTTCTCTGCTTCGTGGTCTCTTTGAAGACATATTGAAGGGTTAAATGTCGTACAGTACCTTCTCAAATTTCGCGAGTTTTTAATTCGACGTTTTCTATTTGAACGCACAAAAAAAACCGACACATTTAAAACTTTTGACGGCGGAAACTCAAATTTCGACGGGTTTGAATGGCCCGCCGACGTTAGGACGACGTGCAAGATCGTGAAAACGGCGTTATTTCTCTTATGTACGAAAGATTCATTATTATTTATTACTGAAAGTCTTTTGGATTGAATTAATGTTAGTGTGTGCAAAATGAGCAATACAATTCATTAATAATACGATCAATATTAAAACGCGAGGAA